GCTGTATTTTGTCAAGTGCTTTTTCTCCATCTATTGAGAAGATCATATGGCTCTTATCCTTTCTTTTATTAATGTGGTGCATCATATTGATTGATTTGTGAATACTGAACCCAGGAATGAATCCCAGTTGATAGTGGTGAATGATTCTTTTAATGTACTGTTGGATTCAATCTGCAAGTGTCTTGTTGAGAATTTCTGCATCCATGTTCCTCAGGGATAGTGGCCTCCAATTCTCCTTTTTAGTGGGGTTTTTTATCTGGTTTGGGAATCAAGGTAATGTTGGCCTCATACAATGAATTTGGAAGTTTTCCTTCCATTTCTAGTTTTTGGAACAGTTTGAGACGAATAGGTATTAACTCTTTTTTAAATGTTTGGTAGAATTCCCCTATGAAGCCATATGGCCCTGGACTTCTGTTTGTTGGGAAATTTTTGATTACTGATTCAATTTCTTTGCTGGTTATGGGTCTGTTCAAATTTTCTACTTCTTCCTGTTTCGCTTTTGGTAGTTTGCATATTTCCAGGAATCTATCCATTTCTTCCAGATTGCCCAGTTTGTTGGCATATAATTTTTCATCATATCCTCTTATAGTTGTTTGTATTTCTTTGGTGTTGGCTGTGATCTCTCCTCTTTCATTCGTGATTTTATTTATCTGAGTTCTTACTCTTTTCTTTTTGGTAAGTCTGGCTAGAGGTTCATCAATTTTATTAATTCTTTCAAAGAACCAGCTCTTAGTTTCATTGATCTGTTCTACTGTGCCTTTTTGGTTTGTTTGTTTCCATATCATTTATTTCTACTCTAATCTTTATTATTCCCCTTCTGCTGGCTTTAGGCTTTATTTGCTGTTCCTTCTCTTTTGAGGCTTCAGGTTTTTTTTTTTTTTTAAACGTTTATTTATTTTTGAGACAGAGAGAGACAGAGCATGAACGGGGGAGGGTCAGAGAGAGGGAGACACAGAATCCGAAACAGGCTCGAGGCTCTGAGCTGTCAGCACAGCTGTCAGCACAGAGCCTGACGCAGGGCTCAAACCCACGGACCGCGAGATCATGACCTGAGCCGAAGTCGGCCACGCAACCGACTGAGCCACCCAGGCGCCCCTGCTGTTCCTTTTCTAAGTGTAAGCTCAGGTTGTATATTTGAGACTTTTCTTGCTTCTTGAGATAGGCCTGTATTACGATATACTTCCCTCCTGTGACCACATTTGCTGCATCCCAAAGGTTTTGGACTGTCATGTTTTCATTTTCATTTGCTTCCATCCATTTTTTTTTAATTTCTTGTTTAATTTCCTGGTTAACCCACTCATTCTTTAGTAGGAGGTTCTTTAACCATGTATTTGTGGTCTTTCCAAATTTCTTCTTGTGGTTGACTTCAAGTTTCATGGTGTTGTGATCTGAAAATATGCATGGTATGATCTGTTTTTTCATACTTTGTGGAGGCCTGATGTGTGACCACAGTATGTGATCTATTTGGGAGAATGTTCCACGGGCACTCAAAAAGAATGTGTATTCTGCTGCTGTAGGATGAAATGTTCTGAACACATCTGTTAAGTCCTTCTGGCTCAGTGTGTCATTCAAAGCCCTTGTCTCCTCGTTGATTCTCTGCTTAGATGATCTATCCATTGCTATAAGTGGAGTGTTAAAGTTCCTTACTATTGTTGTATTGTTATCAATGAGTTTCTTTACATTATTCATTGATTTATATATTTGGGTGCTACCAAGTTGGGGGCATAAATATTTATGATTGTTAGATCTTCTTGATGGACAGACTCCTTTATTATGATACAGTGATCTTCTTCATCTTGTCCTTGGTTTAAAATCTAGCTCGTCTTATATAAGTATTGCTACTCCAGCTTACTTTTGACATCCATTTGCATGATAAATGTTTCTCCATCCCTCACTTTCAATCTGCACGTGTCTTTAGGACCAAAATGAATCTTTTAAGCAGCATATAGATGGGCCTTATTTATTTATTTATTCAATTATTTATTCAATCCATTCTGATACCCTATGTCTTTTGATTGGAGCACTTAGTCCATTTACATTCAGAGTAATTACTGATAAAAATTTGGTGCCATTGTATTACCAATAAAGTTGCTGATTATGGAGATTTTCTCTATTCCTTTCTATTCTTTGTTGCTTTTGATCTTTCTTTCCCACTCAAAGGGTCCCCTGTAACATTTCTTGAAGAGCTGATTTAGTGTTCACAAACTCCTTTAGGTTTTGTTTATCTGGGAAACTCTTTATCTCCCCTTCTATTCTGAATGACAACCTTATTGGATAAAGTATTCTTGGCTGCAGATTTTTCCCATTGCACATGCTGATGATATCCTGCCACTCCATTCTGGCCTGCAGGTTTCTGTGGAGACATCTGCTGCAAACCTGATTTGCCTTCTCTTGTAGGTTAGGGATTTCTTTTCCCTTGCTCTTTTCAGCATTCTTTCCTTACCTCTATATTTAAAAAAATTTCACTATGATGTCTTGGTGTTGGCTGGCTTTTGTTATATTTGATGGGAGTTACCTGTACCTCCTGGATTTGGATGTCTGGCTCCTTCCCCAGATTAGGGAAGTTGGAAGCTATAATTTGCTCAAATAAACCTTCTGCCCCCTTTCCCCTCTCTTCTTCTGGAACTCCTATGATACAAATGTTATTACACATTATGGAGTTGCTGAGTTCCCTAAGTCTACATTCATGATTCAATACTTTTCTTTCTTCTCTTCAGCTTCATTATTTTCCATAGCTTCTATATCAGATTCATTCCTCTGCTTCATCTATCCTTACTTCATTACATCCAGTCTGTTTTGCATCTTTGTTATAGCATTTTTTATTTCAGCCTGACTAGTTTTTAGCTCTTTTACCTCTGCAGTAAGGGCTTCTCTAATGTCTTCTATGCTTTTCTCAAGCTCAGCTAGTATCCTTATGATTGTTGTTTTAAATTCTAATTCAGGTATATTACTTACATTTGTTTTGAGTAAATCCCTGGCCATGACCTCTTCTTGTTTCTTTTGGGGCAAATTCCTCCATCTTGTCATTTTGACTAAGCCACTGTTTTTGTGTATGTGTTAGGAAAGACTTATATGTCCTGCTGAGTGTAATGGCTGTATTAAGAAGAGGTCCTATACTGTTCAGGGCCTGGCATGTCAGAAAGTATTTCAGAGTGTGTACTCTGCAGAGAGTGGCTGCTCTTTCCCTCAGGTCAGTTCTTTGCAGTGTTTCTCCTTGCCTGCATTGGGGAGTGTTGGGACCTTGTCCAGTGTGTGGCATTTTAACTAGGTGTGCTTTGGTCTGCTTGTTAAAATAAGCCTGATCCTATTTCCACTAGAGCTGAAACTTTGCCACACTCTATCTATCAAGTTCAGAAGAATTGATACATGTGGAGGATTTGTGTTGGTCTTTGGGGGAAGGAGCCTGTTGTGCTGGTTATCAGGCCAACTTGCTATAGTAAAAATGCACCCACAGGGCACAGTGGGGTGGGGCCTGGTGTAAGCAGCTCCAGCCTCCACTGGGGGCAGTGTGTTGCTCATTGAAGTTTCTCTGTGCTGATGGGCAGGGCGGGGGGGAATGGGTCACCCCACTCTCTCATCCCCAAAAAGGGGAGTTCGCATCTGCTGCTGTTCAGGAAGGCTTCACAGAAGAGCAAACAATCTCCTCTCTTATGTCCCAGGCTTCTGTCAGAACTCTGCTTTCATCTGGTGCCCAAGCCATCTGCCTGTCTGGTGGCACAGACCTCCTGTGTTTTATCTCAGGCATGCAGCTGGGTTTCAAAAACTCCAAATTTTAGGGACCCAGCGCAGCACAAATCTATGCTGATCCTCTGGAAAAGGGTCTTGCCACGCTATAGTTGGTGCCAGTTTGTTCCAGAAAAGCAGTCACATGCCCACGCAGGGGGCTTGGAATTCATGGTAAAACACAGCCAAAAGCTGGTTTCTTGGCTAGCTGCCTTCAGCAGGTGCCTCTACTGCAATGCTAATTAATGAGGTGGCTCAATGGTGTCTGCCATCTCTTTTGTCCCCTGAGAGGCAGTACCACCTCTCCCAAATACACTCCAAGAAGGGGAACTGTTTCTCCTAGTGAGACCCAGGAGATCCTCAGACCATTCTGTCCACTCCGGGGCCTCTGCCCTCCTTTCCCACAGGAGCACCCCTAAGTCTGCCAGGCATGACCCGAACAATGGTGCAGAATTCTAAAACTTCAGATTTTGAGCTTCATGCTTGTATGCACTTACAATAATCACCCCCTCACCTCCTCCCAGTCAAGGGTTTTGGGGAAGACTTTCTTGTGCAACCCTGTGCACTGCTTTCTCTCACTGTCTCTGTGACCAGGGCTCCCTCTCCTCCACAGCACCTACAGTTCTTTTCTCCCCCAAGTCAACTCTCCACAGCTCCTACCTTCCACGATGTGCCTGTTTTTCTCTCCAGATGTGCAGTTTGTTCTCTCAGTCTTCAGATCAATTCCTTGAGTGTTCAGAATGATATAGTATTTATCTAGCTGTGCTTGAGCGACAAGGCAAGCATAGGGTCCCTCTACTACTCCACCATCTTAACTCACAAACACCCAGGACCATACCAAAGATTTTAAGTAATTTCTACACCCAATGTGGGGCTAAACCCCCAGATCAAGAGCCACATGGTCCACCAACTGAGCCAGCCAGGGACCATAAAATGAACTTATTCTGAGATACACTGGTATTCCTTCTTCACCTTGATCTACTACCTTCACAAAAAACTATTTTAACATTTTCAAAATGTTATTTTCAAAGCTGTGACTGGCCTTTCATTGACTGGCATCCTCTACCAGAAAATTTAATTTTGTTTCTCCATCCAAATGTTTCTGTAAATATTAGTCCTTATGATTTGCTAAGACTAAAACAGCACAATGATAACATTACTAAACAGATCAGTCTAGAAGAAAAACTATTCACGTAACTAAATACATTCACACTTCTTCAGCTTTAAAATTTTTAAATTTCTAACATTATTTCCAATAGCTTATTTAAAGGACATACCGGAAGCTGTGAATGCCCTGAAGTTCCTGCTGTAGAACCTCTTGTGTTGTTGCTATTAAGTCCAATGCTCCAACAAATTCAGAAGTGGATAACAACACCTGTACTGTAGGCTGAGTTTGGTGTACAGTGGCCATTAACTTGAGTTTATTGTACACTTTAACACAATTATTTCTGGTAAGTGCCAGTCTTAAAATGTGTAGTGATCCTTCACACATTACTTTATCAATCTGTGCAATTTTATCTCGAAGCATTTTTACAGCCTGGGAAGTTTTCTTGAGGTAGTCCTGCAATTCGTGTTGAGAGGTCATAGCATGAAAAAATGCTTCTGAACGTAGAGAGATCTGATGAGCAATGTTTACTTCCACAATATCCAGATAATGGCTCAGCTTAAGAGGGAAGAAAAAAAATTTCATAAGAGTATTGTAAGTATACCTTCTTTGACTATCCACATACTTTCTGAAAATGATACAAGATTTCTATACGTATTTTAAATCCCATTGTGTGAACTATTTGATTATGGAATTCTTGATGTTGAGCATAACAGAACAGAAGGGAGATAAAAGGTAACAGCCCAAATATTAATAAATTTAAGACAAAAGAGTAGAAGAAGCTGATTTACCTTCTTCCTCTGCTCCTGCTATTACTGCCCTCCAAATACCAACTACTTTCTAGAAAGTAAGAGTCATCAGAGATCATTATCTAGTTTTAGAAGTTCTAAGATCTGAGACAGAATGATCTCCTTAACCGTCACACCATCACACATCACTTATCTGACTAAAAGCTTATTATAGTTACTGTTTATTGACCTCCTCCTTCTATATACCAGGCACTGGTATTTTATACACATAATTTTCTAGTTCTAACAATCTTAGAGTACAAGTATTATTTGTATTCTTATTTTTACAGATGAGGAAACTGAGGCTCAGAGACATTAAATAATTTGAATAAAGTCATGTGGTTAGTAAGTGGAAAAACTAAAATTTGAATCCAGGCCTGACTCAAAAACTGAAGCTCTTTCTATTATACCACACTTCTGCAAAATACTAAAGAATTCATGATCCAGTCACAAATTATGGAAAGTAGTAGAATTCACTGGGACATTTTTTTCAAGGCTGCTTATCTTACATTTCAAAAATTATTCTTGGGGCGTTTGGGTGGCTCAGTCAGTTGGGCGTCCGACTTCAGCTCAGGTCATAATCTTGCAGTTCACAAGTTCAAGCCCTGCATATGGCTCTGGGCTGACAGCTCAGAGCCTGGAGCCTGCTTCGGATTCTGTGTCTCCCTCCCTCTCTGCTCCTCCCCTGCTCATGCTCTGTCTGTCCCTCTCTCAGAAATAAAGAAACATTAAAAATATTTTAAAAGATTATTCTTTTATCAATTTGTAAAACTCAGTTTATTGCCAATATATTTTCCTTTTAAAATATGCCTTAAATGAATTCACATTTTATTTGTAACACAACCAAGATTAATTCCTAGAGTAACATATATTTAAAAATACTAATTTCAAATATGGGCTTCTAACACTTGAGTTGTCTTTTCTTCCTTTCTAATTGCATATGCATATGCTACATTATCTTCTACTTCTCTCCCACTTTTTAACTTTTAGATTCTTCAACCTATAGCTCAAGCTCTAGGCATTCTCTCTCAACATCTCACGAGAATTCACAGTGCTAAAGGGTTAATGGGCTTTCAACATGTAGGACTCATAAAATTAGAAGAGATTATTTGGTCACCAACATTGTTTCCTTAAAACCATGCAAGATCACACATATCTTCAACAAAGCTCCTTCAGTAATCTATCATAATATATAATAGGTTACAAACAAGAAAATTTTCCATAGTTTAAATCTCTTCAGTTTATACCCTTTTACTGTTGTTCTTTTCATCTTCAACACGTCTGTGCACTTATTTACCTAAAAAGCAATATGGGGACAAAGGTACTTGGGTACATTGCAAGCTAAAGTAGACTCAATTTTCAGAATAGTAAATGGAGAATGAGTAACTCCTTTAGGAGAGTGCTACTCAGAATTCGGTTTATATGCTGCTGCCAGTCTGTGAACTATTTAAGAGGTCCATGATAAAATAAGGAAATTTGCTGGAAAGTAAATCAACTATATCACTAAGTCTACTGAACTGTTTTTTCATAGAAAGACTTTCTTAATAAAGGAAGCACTGCAATGATTTACATTCTAGTGCAAACCACTAGGTTTCATCACAAACCAGCACTTTGGGTAGCATTACAATAAAATACAAATTATCTAACCCTGGTTGTAGCATTCCCTCTCTTAAAACATAGCAAGATATAAACAGCTGTTTGTCAATCGTAAAGTGAGTTTGAAAGTGTTCTCTTGGGATCCTTTCTTCCACTCCTTTTCTAAGACAAGAGTAGAATAAGATGAAGCCCAAATGTAAATATAATGATCTTAATTCTGCAACTTACCAAAAAATAAAATTCCATTACTTTAGTCACTTTATACATTTACCATGAGAAAATTCTTTCATTTGAATTTCAAAGATTTCTGCAAGTTATCAATATTCCATTGATCTATTCTTTTCAACAGCATAATATTTTCATAATTCATTTCCTATTAAAATTCTATAAAGGGAACAATTTTTAGTCTTCCTAAAAGTATTTAGGAAGTATTAGTATTTAGGAAGAGATTTTCATTGGCTTTTGTTGTTTTCTCTTTTAAGGTGACTAGTCTAGCAGGGCATATATTGGAATGTGAAAAAAAGCAGTCTGAGAATGAGCCTGTGTCCATAAACCCATCATTTTCATCGGATTTATGAATTTGTTCCTACTCAAGGAAAACCTTTATATGTGAAAATGTTGCCAAAGGAAAAATTACTCCATTTTTATTTTCAACTGTAAGAAAAAGAATACTCATGATTCTTTCCTTACATGTCTTCTCCTCTTCTCCCCAAACTAGTTTCCTCTTCAGTTACTGGACCTCATTTATTGAATAGTAGTCCTGAGACAAGTTTCCAGACTGCCAAGAGATGTCACTAACCTGAAACAAAATGCTTTCTTCTCAGTTTAAGAACCAGTTTTAGAAACGCTCTAAACTGAATGCTGGGAAAGAATAGGAATCAAAGACCTTTACTTCCTATTCAAGTTTTAAAAGATTCTTGATATAGGAGTTAAGATGTGTTTAAAATTCTACATTTTAAATGATTTTAAGATGCTGATTTCTCCCTTAGAGAACACTATAAAAATTTTTAGAAACTGCTGACTACTAACATGTAAAAGATCAGGCTTTGCAAAGCTAAAAATACTATATTTTTTAACTATACTTTTGCTTCGAAATAATCATCCTTACTACGTATAAATAAGGAAAAACAGCACCTTTGCAAAAGTTGATTTTCCATACCTTAAATCCTAAAGAATATAAAATTTGCCAATGGATTTTTGGAGATAAATGTAAAGCAATTAATTGTGTTGTCTAATATATCCTTCCAACCTAAATTCTAGCAACTGCTATTTTGGATAAGAAGCACTCAAACAATTAGCTTTTCCTTTTTCACCAGTACAACTTGTTTTCCATTGAATCGAATGTTTTTACTTTTATCAGTTAAAATTTGAAGGCAGTAACAATAAAAATGAAATTAAATTAGCCCTTACTAAATAACTAAATCTGAACCCACACAAAAGGTACTACTTAACTATAATAAAGTTTTCTACATGGGAAAAGTAAAAAAGAAATTACCTTTTCTTGTAGCAACTTTGAGGAAGCTGCATCACGATTTCCTTTTCCACCAGCAGTATTAAAATGAGACCATGGTAAAACTGAATTAAAAGTTAAGGAATCGTCCAAGGCAAAATCTGGTTTCATAAAAATCTATTAAAAAATGTATTTTCCTCGATTAGATAAACATTTCTTTTACATCCATTATCCCTTCAAACATCATAAGACCATTAATAATAAACTTGGATCTCAAGCATAAACAGAAAAGCAAGTGATGTGCTGATTTACACAAGAATCTGTATAAACATGTATAGTTCCATCAAGTTTAAAATACTCATAAAAGACAGAAAAATGTTTTTTGTCTTTACCAATGGAGATAATCATTCCATTATTATGTGATCAAATTCACTAATATAGTACCACTAAGATTATACCAAAGGGAGACATCCTCTTTATCCAAAAATTTCTATATTATTTCCCCCACTGATAGCAGTTTTTAAAAAAATCCCAAATGTCAATTTCTCTATATTTCTATTTTCTCCTGCTTAAAATGTTTTCAAAATTACTTTGTAGATTAGATATATACTGAATTTTAAAACCAAAACAAATTCAATTTTATGAAAAGACTACTCTTTTTCCTTTACATACTTCATTCATCTGGGCACTAAGTCCTACCCACTATATTTTCTAAATAATACTTGAATCCTCTCTCTCTTCTAAGTCTATAGCATTTCATCAGTGCAGCCCCTCATTACCTCTGGATTACAGACATGTCTATTTAATGATATGTTTCCTCAATCTATCCCCTCTACTAATGTCAGATATACTTTTTAATGTTTATATATTTTTGAGAGAGGGAAAGAAAGAGAGAGGATCTGAAACAGGCTCTGCGCTGTCAGCACAGAGCCTGACACAGGGCTCAAACTCACAAACCACTAGACCATGACCTGAGCAGAGGTTGGATGCTTAACCGACTGAGCCACCCAGGCACCCCATCAGATATACTTTTAAAATACAAGTATAGGGGCGCCTGGGTGGCTCAGTCGGTTGAGCGTCCGGCTTCAGCTCAGGTCATGATCTCACGATTTGTGAGTTCGAGCCCCGTATCAGGCTCTGTGCTGACAGCTCAGAGCCTGGAGCCTGTTTCAGATTCTGTGTCTCCCTCTCTCTCTGCAACTTTCCCACTTGTGCTCTCTCTCCCTCTCTCTCTCTCTCTCTCAAAAATAAATAAACATAAAAAAAAAAAATACAAGTATAACTGAATTAATTTCTGTTTTAATCTCTCAATGGATTCCCATGACCTCAGGACCAAACTTTTTAGAAGGGCATCAAAAGCCTTTCGTTTTTTTTTTTTTAACCCCCTCACTGATTTGTATCTTGCCACTCCCACTACTTAGAAGTTACATTGTAGTAATGCTCAACTATCTTCCATACCCTGGTGCTGTTATCTTTGTATGCGCTTTCAGCCTAGAATGCTCTTTCCTATTTCCTAGAGAATACAACCCAAACAAAAGGACAAATTTATCTCCGTATGATTACTTACTCGATCTCTGAACACATCAATTACCCCATCTTTGAACACAAGTACATATACCACATATATTTATGTATCTCATACTTTACAAAAATTATTTATTTAATATGTGTATTGCCCCCTGGAGACCATATGCTCCTGGATTTACAGCTAATTAATCTTTGTATCTCTACTACCTAGCATAAGGCCTGAAACACAGTTTAACTTAACTACTTACCTAATTAATTTCTAGATTTTATTTTTACTGATTTTACCTATATCCAAAAACCAGTATAAAGGGATAGGGAAAATCTAACTAGGGACATGAATGTATTTTCTAGTCCCGTTTAGTATATTTTAAAGTACTTATTAATTCAATAAATATTTACTGATAATCTAACTCTTATGCTACGCACAAAAGGGGAAACAAAGATAAATTATTACATAGGTCTTAATCTTAAGGATCTTCAGTCCACTAGATGTGATAAAATACACACATAAATATCTTATAAAAAGTGACAAATGCCTTAAAAAGGAAGGCACAGGTCTACATAAAATGCTATGGAAATTCAGCAAAGGGGCCAATTATCTTCAGTTGGAAAGATATGTATTTATGTAAGGTTGCCATTTAAGCAAGAGAATGTAAAGAAAGGATCAGATATGAGGAGTTGAGGGAAAAGTCTTCCAGCTAAAGGAACAGTACAAGTAAAGCACAGAGCCAGCAAAAAAGTTTGGCTGAAATAAAGAATGGGTAAAGATTAGTAAGCAAAAGTTAAGAGAGTGATTATGATGGAAATGAATAATTAAGGGTCTTAAATGACAGAGTTTGAATTTTATTTTGTAGGAATCAAAGAACTGTAGAAATGACTGCCCTCTTCTTTTTGCTTCTGTCTTGTCTTTGTCTTCTCACCCTAGAGAGCAGTTATCACAGACCTCTTGGAGAATCTGATTAATGCAATGGCCTCTTTCCCCTGGGGGAACAGGGGGACATCTACTACATACCTCTACAAAATTTTTCACACAAAGGAAAGATCTCCTAATAATGTGAAGGGGCAGTAAGATCAATAAAATTCTTTTTTAGAATGGAGAGACTTAATTATATTTGTAAGTTTCAGCAACGAAGAAGAAACTGATGAAGTACAAGAGAGAAGAAAAATGATGCACAAAGTCCCAGAAGATGCAAAGTGGTTAAAGTGTGAGAAAGTCAAATGAAAGCTTCTTATAAGGCAAAATTAAAGATATTTAAGATTATAAAAAGTTAAAGATATTAAAAAGCAGTATTCTCATTTATTAAAGCTTTGTTACCTTAGGTACTTGCTCCAGATCTGTCCTGGATTTATCTATGAAAAAGGGGAAAATATGATTTTTTAAACTTGTTTTCACTTTATTCCATAAAATACATTTTGACTAGATTCTGTACTATGCCACTATATAACCACATAAATTCCCTCAACAAACATCTATCAGGTACTTCCTGTATGCCTAGTAGTAGACAAAACACTGAATAAATCCTAGGTTTCAAATAATTTTAATCAATTGCATGGTATCAATAAAACAACTAAATATATTTCAAGTCTTTTTTAAATGGACACAGAAAGCTTGTTGATTGATATCTTATTAAGTTTTGGTGAAATTAAGTTTGGCATACAGTTAAAAAATGAATTCAATACTAATATAGGAATACTGTTTTTATTGTTCAAAATACCCACCATCCCATCCAGAACTTATGATCAAAGATTTTAACACCATATCAATTTTCTTCTTAGACATTTAGTTTGTATCAACAACAAACCTGCAAAGGAACCTACTTTACCTTCATCTCACCAACTAGATCTCAGAGGACATACCCTTTCAAAAGTAACCTTTCTGGGTTGGACTCCATGCCTTCCTGCCTCTTTCATGAGCTTGCTTCGTCCTCAATTACCCTGCCTCTTTCTGTATCTTCAACCTGTTGCCTTCTAATAGCTCTTCCTGTCTGCATACAAACATGCTCAGCTTTCTTCCATTAAAACAAATAAAGATAAAGCTAAAACCCAGGGCCTGGAGTAGGCTGAGGCAAGGGAGGACCTCCAGTACAAAATTTAAGAAAGCACTCACTCTCAGGGTTATGCAAATGCCTCTCCCACCTCATCTTGTGTTGACCATGCAAAAACATTCATCCACTCTGTTCTAGATAGCCAATATCCTGTATCTCAAACCCTAAAGTCATACCCACATTGGTTGTCTCCATTTCTTTCTCTTGTACTCACTCCTTAACATATAGTATTGTGTTTTCTGTAACTATCACTTTAAGTCTGAATGTCCTCCTTAAGATCTCCTAAATTGCGAAATCCAAAGAAACTTCTCAGTGTGCAAACTGATCTATCATTACCAACAACTAACTGATGACCAAAACCTGTGCTTTGATCTCTAACTTATCTCTCAAATGCCTAAATTATTTTCCATCTTCATTTTAACTGCTTTTGGGGCCACATGATTTCTCACTTGTATTACTTCAATAGCCTTTTACTATCTCTTTGTCTCCAATTTTACCATCTTCCTTAAATTTATCTTCTACAACTATTTTCACAGTGAAATGTATAATCATAAATCTGATCATGTCTGGTTAAAAATATTTTGTGGCTCTGTACTGCTTTTAGAAAAGAAAAATTCCTTAACATGGCATATAAGGCACTTCATATTAGGGCCAACTCCGCTGCCCACTTCTTCAGCCTCATATCTTGCTCCCAGAAGAGCCAATATACCCAACTCTTGTAGTTTCTTGAAGATGCTCTGTTCTCTCTTGACTCTACTGCTTTGCTTTTACTGATCCCTCTTCCTAGAAGGCCTTTTCTCCACATAAATCTTTCTTAACAGCTACTTTAAAACACAGGCAATCATCAACTCTAGGAAGTTTTCTAAGGCTTAACAAATCAGGAGCTCTATACAATCTTACCACACTGAACTTACTGCTTGATATACAGTATTGCAACCTTACTCAGGAGACTTTCAGCTTCTTGAGGACAAGTGTTCTTTCTTATTCAACTATTATTAAGCAACAAGCAAAGTACCAAGCACCCAGATGTTAAATAAATATTTGTTGAAGTGAAGGATAACACTATGAGCCCCATGATTTTTCTTTCTCAAAAACTTTTGAAAAAGATTATGATCACAGGCTATAAAAATTTCACTAGAAATAAAAGATCCTCAAATTAAGATTTTGTTTGTTGATATTTACACTGTGCTACAAATACCACATATTCATCTATATATTTTCTACAAATAGCACATATTCATACCATGAGTATGTAAGAGAGTCCTGTCAAAAGTATCTTTAGGAGGACAAATATTCTTGCATCTCTCATGAGTCTTCTCTTTCTATAAAAAGACAAATAACAAAATAAATGCTATGTAGCAATATGAAAGCATCAAAATATTTCACAAAAGAATATACCAAATTAGTTGTACAAATTTTAACATGAAATCACTAACCTCTTGAACTTAAACAAGTATGCTTAATAAACCAAATATGAACTCTTTGAACACCTATATGCTTATTTATACCCATCCCATTTTATATAATTATAGTAAAACCTCCATAAATTTGGAATGAAGTGGGGGTACAAATGAAAGATCCTTATTTACATAACAGAAATCAATTGAGAATAACTTTTTAAAACAAGGAAGGAAATGTGAAAACCTATATACCTAAGATAGAAAGATAGGTATCAGTTAACCCTTTGTGACTCAAAGAAAAAGAAACCTCACTGACTTTAGACTAGATGATCACTAACAATTCTATCTTTTCAGAGACACCATAAATAGTACACATAGGGAAGTGGAGTATGGATAAGGAAAAAATACTGAGCTGGTAGTGTTCAGAGCTCTGATAGCAACTGTGGCAGAAACTACAGGATTGTCTTCAAACATGGTTATACATTTTGCAGTCCTACCCACAACGAATAAGAGTTCCTATTAGCCTATATTCTTGCCAGCATTTGGTGCTATCAGTGTTTCAATTTCTGATAGATTTCAGTTCTCATAGATTTCAATTTCAAATTCTGATAGATGTGTAGTGGCATCTCATTGTTATTTTAATTTGCAATTCCCTAATGACATATGAGCATCTTTTCATGTGCTTATTTGACATCTATATGTATTCTTTTATGAGATGCCTGTTCAGATCTTTCACCCATTTTTTTTATTGTGGCAAAATATACATAAAACTTATCACTTAAAACGTGATTATTAGTGATATTGACTATCTTTTCACATGCTTATTGGTCATTTGTACATCTTCTTTGGAGAAATGTCCATTCAAGTCCTTTTCCCATTTTTCAGTTGGGTTGTTTCTTATTGTTGAGTTTTAAGAGTTATTTGTACATTTTGGATACCGATCCTTTATCATATATGTGTTTTGAAAATATTTTCTCCCAGTGTCTAGCTTGTATTCTTTCTTTTAATGGTCTTGCACAGAGTGGAAGTTTTAAATTTTAACTAAGTCCAACTTGTCAATTTTTTCTTTCATGGATTGTACTTTTGATGCCATTATCTAAAAAGTCATCACCAAACTCAAAGTCATGTATTTTTCTCCTATGTAATCTTCTAGTTTTACAGTTTTGCATTTTACATTTAGGTCTATGATCCATTTTGTGCTAATTTCTGTGAAAGGTATGGGTAGTCTGTGTCTAGGTTCTTTTTATTTATTTATTTATTGCATGTGGATATCTAGGTGTTCCAGCACCATTTATTCAAAAGACTATGGAACTGCCTTTGCACCTCTATCAAAAATCAGTTGACTATATTTGTGTAGGTCTATTTCTGAGCTCTCTTCTGTTCCTTTGGTCTGTATATCTATTCTTTCACAAATACTACACTTTCTATATTACTATATCTTCACGGTAAGTCATGAAGTCAATTAGTGTCAGTCTTCCAACTTGGTTCTTCAATACTTTGTTAGCTATTCTCTTTTCCCTTTCTTTATAAACTTTGGAATTTGTTTCTTGGTATCTACAAAATAAATTGCTGGAATTTTAACTGAGATTGCGTTGAATCTATAGGCCAAGTTGGGAAGAACATTTTGACAATACTGAGTCTTCCTATCCACGTAAATGGAATCTCTATTTAGATCTTCACGGATTCCTTCCATCAGTTTTGTAATTATCCTCACATAGATCATATTCTGTTAGATTTATACCTAAGTATTTCATTTTCTTTGGTGCTAATGTAAATGGTGCTGTGCTAATTTCAAATTCTAATTGTCCATCAGTAGCATATAAGAAAGCAATTTACTTTTGTAATATTAACCTTGTATCCTGCAACTTTGGTATAATCGCTTATTAGTTCCAGGAGTTTCTTTACTGACTCTTTGGGATTTTCTACATAGACAATCATGATATCTGTGAATAAAGACAGTTTTATTTCTTCATTCCCAGTGTATATACCTTTTATTTCCTTTTCTTGTCTCATTGTGTAGAGTTTCCAGTACGATGTCAAAAGGAGTGGTGAGAACAGACATCCTTAGCTTGTTCCTGATCTTAAGTAGGAAAGCATCTAGTTTCTCACTATCAGTTGTAGGGTTTTTGTAGATACTATCAAGTTGAATTTGTTTCCCTTGGGGCACCTGGGTGGCTCAGTCAGTTAAGCGTCTGACTGGCTCAGGCCATGATCTCACAGTTGATGAGTTTGAACCCCACATCAGACCCTGTGCTGACAGCTCAAAGCCTGGAGCCTGCTTTGGATTCTGTGTCTCCCTCTCTCCCTGCTCTCCCCTGCTCGTGCTGTCTCTCTCTCAAAAATAAACATTAAAAAAATTAAAAAAAAAAAAAAGTTCCCCTATATTCCCAGTTTGCTGCATTTTTATCATGAATGGGTACTGAGTTTTATCAAACGTTTTCTCTGTATCTATTGATATGAACACACGACTTTTCTTCTTCAGCCTGTTAATTTATGGATTACACTAATTGCTTTTTGAATATTGGATCAACCTTACATATCTGGAATAAATCCCACTTAGTTATGGTATAGAATTCTTTCTATACGTTGTTGGGTTTGATTTTCCAATATTTTGTTAAGGACTTTTGCAACTATGTTCATGAGAGACAGTGGTCTGTAGTTTTCCTTTTTCATAATGTTTTTGTCTAATTTCAATATTAGGTTAATGCTGCATAAATAAGTTAGAAAGTATCCCCTTTGCTTCCATTTCCTGGAATAGATCATAAAGAACTGGTATAACTTCTTGCTTTAATGGCTGGTACAATTCACCAGTGAACTCATCTGGCCCTGGCGTTTTCTATTTTGAAAAATTATTATTGATTCAATTTCTTTAATAAGTATAGATTTATTCAGACAGAATTTGTGGGCATACAGTTTGTTCATAATATTATTTTACTATCTATTTAATGTCCATGAGATCATTAGTGATATGACCTCTTTCATTTCTAGTACTAATAATTTATGTCTTTTTTTTTTAATTAACTTGGCCAGACAATTATCAAGTTTATTGATCTTCTCAAAGAAACAGCTTTCAGTTTTATTGATTCTGTTGATTTCCATTTTTCAATTTCACTGATTTCTGGTCTAATTTTTATTATTTCTTTTCTTGTTTTGTTTTATTGTAAGATACTTGACACATGATGTCATTAGTTTCAGGTACAAACACAGTGATTCACCTTCTGCTAACTTTGAATATCATTTGTTCTTTTTGTCTCCTGTGGTAAAAGCTTAGATTATTAATTTTAGATTTTTTTCTTCACTAATATACGCATTCAAACTATTAAATTTCCCTCTAAGCAATGCTTTCACTAACCCACACATTTTGATACATTTCTATCAACTTTTCCTTAAGCTCACTGATTCTTTTCTCTGACATTTCATGTCTAGTGATGAATCCATCAAAGGCATTCTTCATTTCTGCTGTTTTCTATTTCTAGAATTTCCTTTTGATTCTTATTGTTTGCATCTCTCTGCTTACATTACCCATCTATTCTTACATGTTATCTACCTTTTCCATTAAGGTCTTAGTATATTAACCATAGTTGTTTTAAATTCCCAGTCTGAGAATTCCAACATTGTTGCCATCTGAGTCTCATTCTAGTACTTGCTCTTTAAACTGTGGGGTTTTCTTCTTATCTTTAGTGTATACTATAATTCTCTGTTGAATGCCAGATATGATGTACTGGATAAAAGGAACTGAGGTAAACAGGCATTTTGTGTGAGATTTATGTTTACCTGGCTAGGAATGAGGCTGTATTTACCGTTTGCTGTAGCTGCAGATGTTAGAGGCTAAAATTTCCTCTGGTGTCCTTGTTTTTGTCTCCCTTGCTGTCTTTTTTTGTTGTTGTTGTTTAATGTTTATTTATTTACTTTGAGACAGAGAGAGAGCAAATGGGGGAGGAGCAGAGAGAGAATCCCAAGCAGGTTCGCGCTGTCAGCACAGAGCTTGACACGGGGCTCGAACTCACAAATCATGAGATCATGACCTGAGAGTTGGAAACTTAACAACCTGAGCCACCCAGGTGCCCCTCCCTTGCTGCCTTTACAGATTTCTTAAATATTAAGTCTGAGACATTATTAAGACAATATTAAGTCTTTTAGTTGTATTCCCTTATTATACAGGTGCCCTATTGATATGGTGGGAAGATGTGGGAGGAAGGGAAGCATTCCAGAGTTCTGTGATTAGGCCTTTGTCTTTTAGTGAGTTTGCACCCCTGGGCTGTTACCTTCAAAAAGCCTCTAAGTTGTTGATTTTCAGTTTTTTCAGATTTTTTCTTGTGAGAACAGGAGTAGAAGCTTCCAAGCTCCTTCTAAGCTGAACCAGAAGTATTTTTAACTTTTTAAGAAATGGCTAAACTGTTTTCCAAAAGGGTTTGTACCACTCTAAATTCCCACCAACAGTATGTGAGAGTTACTCCACCAGGGCTGGCAATAGGGTGAGGCAAGCAAGGAGCCTAGGGTACAATATTTAAAGAGGTACCTACTCTTAGATTCTCATGCCCCTTCATATTTTACATCTCAGGCACCTTGCCAGCCTCATCCTAATACTCACCCTATCCTTCATATCTTCACCAAAATATGAAAGAATATGTGTAGACATGGTATTGTTTTTTTCCTTAAATATTTGGTAGAAATCAACAGTGAAGCCATGAGTGCTTGAGTTTGCTTCTTGAAAAGGTATTTAACATCGATTTCTTTAATAAGTATAAGGCTATTCATGTTATCTATTTCTTCTTGAGTGAGATTTGGTCATTTGTGTCATTCAACAAATATGTCAGTTACTCTAACTTGTTAAGTTTATTGGCATAAAATTGTTCAAATTAGTCTTGTAACCACTGTAGAATCTGTAGTGATGTCATCACTCTCATTCTTGTTACTGGTGATTATGTTTTTTCTTCCTGGATCAGCATTGCTTATAGGTCTGCCAATTTTTTTTAAGTTTTTTTTTTTTTTTTTTAACATTTATTCATTTTTGAGAGACAGAGTGTGAGCAGGGGAGGGGCAGAGAGAGGGAGACACAGAATTTGAAACAGGCTCCAGGCTCTGTCTGAGCTGTCAGACCAGAGCCTGACGCAGGGCTCGAACTCTCAAACTGCAAGATCCTGACCTGAGCTGAAGTCGGACACTAAACCGACTGAGCCACCCAGGCGCCCCGGTCTGCCAATGTTATCGATCTTCTCAAAGAATCAGCTTAGGGTTTCACTGATTTTTCTCTACTGTTTCTCTACTTTCTAGTTCACTGATTTTGACTTTGATGTTTCTTTCTTTCTTCTGCTTATTTTGGTTTAAATTTGTTCTTGTGGTAGCTTTTTAAGGTGGAAGTTGAAGTCACTAATTTGAGACTATTCTTCTTGTCTAATATATGCATCTACTGCTATAAATTGTTCCCTAAGTACCGCCAGAGTAGCATGCCACAAATTCTGATATGTTGTGTTTTTATTTCCACTCAGTTCAAACAAGAGCTGCCTTTGGAACAACGTAGGGGCTAGGGACACCAATGTCCAATAATCAAAAATCCAAGTATAACTTTTAACTCTCCAAACACTTAACTACCAACTACTGTGGACCAGAAGCCTTAACAGTAACAAAAAGTCAATCAACACATATTTTGTATATTACACATTACATATTATTTCTTAAAATAATCTAGAAAAAAATGTTATTAAGAAAATCATAAGGAAGGGGCGCCTGAGTGGCTCAGTCAGTTGGGCATCCAATTTTGGCTCAGGTCATGATCTTGTGGTTCCTGAGTTTGAGCCCTGGGTCGGGCTCTGTGCTGGCAGCTCAGAGCCTAGAGCCTGCTTTAGATCCTTGTCTCCCTCTTTCTCTGTCCCTCCCCTGGCTCATGCTGTCTCTGTCTCTCTCTCTCTCAAAGATAAACATTAAAAAAAAAAAAAAAGTTTGTTTTTAAAAAAAGAAAATCATAAGGAAAATACATTTACAGTACTGTGACTGTACTTATCAAAAAAATCTGCATATAAGTGGATCTGCATGGTTCAAACCAAGTTGTTCAAGGATCAATGGTTCTAATTTCCTTTTCCTCTTCAACCCACATTTTTATTTAGAAGTGTTAATTTTGGTTTCCAAGTATTTGTGGATTTCCCACACACTTTTCTGTCAATAATTTCTAATTTAATTCTACTGTGGTCAAAGAATATACTGTGTATGACTTGAAGACTTTTAAATGTATTAACATTTGTTTTATGGTTCAGATTATGTTGATAAATGTTCCAGTAACACTTCAGAAGAAAATGTATTCTTCTGTGTTGGGTGGAATGTTGTTTCAATGTGTTCTTTCAAAGTCAATTCAGGTTGATTGACAGTGCTGTCATTGAGCACTTGTTATTGAGAGACAAGTATTAAAATCCCCAACCAGAATTGTGAATTCATCCATTTCCGCCATAAAATTCCTACTTTTTGTTTCATATATTTTGAAGCTCTGTTTTTACAGACTAAATGTTTAGAAATATATCCTCTTGATTAACTTAACACTTTTATCATTATAAAATAATCGTTACCCCTAGGATAGTCTTTGCTTGGAAATCTGCTTTGGTTGGTATTAATACAGCCATTCCAGCTTTCTTTTGACTGGTGTTAGCATGGTATATCTTTTTCCATCGTTTTACTTTTCAAATGTTCTGTGTCTCTGTATTTAAAGTACACTTCTTATAGGCAGCATACAGTTGGGTCTCGCTTTTTCATCCAATCTCACACCCTCTGACTTGTAATCAGGGTGCTTAAACATATACATTTAATATGATTATTGACAGGGTTAGGTTTAGGTCTATCATCTTTAAGTTTTTCTTTTTTCTCATCCATTCTTTGCTCCCTTTTTACCCTTTTTCTGCCTTTGTTTGCATTGAGAATTTTTTTCATTTCATGTTATCTCTTCTGTTGGCTTATTAGCTATAATACTTTGTTATTTTAGTGGTTGCTTAAGGGTTTATTGTTCATAATCCTTGTTAGAAATGTAAGCTTTTTAATGGAGAGAAATAGTGTGTTTTGGTCTCTGTTGTATCCCTAGTGTTTAGAACAGTGCCTGGCACATGGAAGGCATTTAATAAATATTTGATCAATAAATGGATAAATAGAGAAGCCAAATGGTAGGTTATGGGGCATGAGATTACAAACCATCAAAAAGAAGGCATATTAAAGCTCATCCACTTAACAACATCCAGACAGCTATGATTGTTGAAAACAACACAAAAACTTGGGGCACCTGGGTGGCTCAGTTGATTAAGCATCAGACTCTTGTCTCAGCCCAGGTCTTGATCTCAGGGTCATGAGTTCAAGCCCCATGTTGCACTCCACACTAGGTAGGCATGGAGCCTACTTTAAAAAAAAAAAAAAGAGGAACACAAAAACTCTAGACAGCATATGTGAATATACATTATATAAAAGTAAATAATATTTACGGGTGCTGTACAAAAATAGTAGGTAGTACTAAAAATTAACCAGATACTGTATAGTACTAATGCCAATAATGTAATCATATTTAGCCTATTTCCAAATCATAAAAGGAACAAAGTAATCAAGTGAAATGAAGTCAGCTAAATGCAAATTAGGCTTGCTAATGAAAAAAGTATAAAAAGGGATATTATAAAAATATAAATATCCCCTCTTCTACATGTAATATAGAACATGATCACTATAGTTAATAACACTGTATTGCATATTTGAAAGTTCCTAGGAAAGATTTTTTAAATCCTCATCACGAAAAAAAAAAATTTTTGTAACTATGTATGGTGACAGAGGTTAACTAGACTTATGGTGACCATTTTGCTATATATATAAATATCAAATCATTATGTTGTACACTTGAAACTATTATAATGTTATATGGCAATTATATTTCAGTAAAGAAAGAAGTTTTAATATCCCCTGTTCCATTTTAAAAGTGAGTTTCTTAAAAAACTAAAATGGTAACCAAAATTTTATTGAAAATACTAAAAATGAATAACAAGCCATCTCAAACTTAGGACCACTCGCTCAGAACTGAATGTAGAGCAATATATTATGTCTAAAGGTATCAAGACTATCTGCCAGAGCTAGCATGCTCTATTAAATTCTTTGTGGTAAATAAGAAACAAAGAAACAGTTCTATTCTGCTCATTTCTTAAACTTCACAAATCATCTGGGTTTTACTGGCCTAACAGAACAATTTTCTCCTTGGGAGGCAGGGTGGGTTGCATGTTGAATCTTAGCACTATTAGAAAAGTATAAGTGTGAAAAATCACTCCAGTAAGAGAAATATATTTACATATATCTAAGCAAAGAATTAAATACAACCCAGGACAGTAGAATGAATATAGACAGAAAAGAATACTGTAAGCTCATCAAAGATTATTGGTCAAAAATCTATAATAAATCAAACTAAAGATCTTTCTATCCCTTTTGACCTGACTTCAAGATTAGATATTACCTGAGAGATTTCCTGTTGATACACTGTAAAATGTTCCTTGCTGATCTGTGGGAGGTAGAATGAAGGTATGACTTCAGTGTCCACAAAGTCCAATCCCCATGTTTTTGTGAAGAAGTCAGATTCTCTTTTTGCTAATCTAGGATCATTTAATGCTGCTGGGAGGTTTACTTTGGAATGATATATAGTCCATCTATGTTGATCTGTAACTAGAGATGGGGTAACACATAAACTATTTGAATCACCTGCAAAAAGTAAACAAGAAAACTCTGTAAACTAAGTTCTACATTTGAAAGTACATCCTAGAAAAATAAAAATTGCTTAGTTTCTGCTCTATGCCAAGGCACCAAAATCTCTCTTTTATAACAAACGTTTTAATGAAAATCAATCTGATTAAATAAACTTCAGCTTTCAGCATCAATTGCCAAGGGAAGGAAAAGCATGTAAAAGATAAAGAATACACAAAATTTGAGAGTTGTATTTGCATCACGGGGTGGATCATAAAGAAAGTCTTTCATTAGTTCCTTTCCTTAATGTACAATTTCTCTTTTTTCAACATCAAAACTCTTCTACCTTTTTATTATATATATTCTATCCTTTAATACTTTTTTTCACAGGTTTACCTCTTTTCTGTTGTATTATGGCAGACACACCTGGTTCTAATATCCTTTGTTTGGCTTATGATTAGATGCCAGAAATGCTGCTGTGGCATTAATCATAGAGGAAACAAAAATATATAGTCAATTCTTGTTATTCATGGCAGTTTTGTTCTATAAAGTCATGGTAACAATTAGCAAATACGGAACCACTATTCCTAGGGGAAATAGAGGGGTAGGTACCTCCAAGCCTCTGTTCACAAAATTTTCATCAACCAATCAATAAATAATCTTCTGTGTTTCTGTTTAAAGACACCTTTAATATATATTGTTCATTCATTAACACTGAACTCATGGCTCATACCACTGTAATTCATACCTGAATGAATTTTCTTCATTAGTGCATACACTGCAGTCTTTTTGTGCTTAGAAACACTAGAAAGCACTTCAGCCCTACATCTGGTAACCATTTTTAAACAGCAAAAGCACCAATAAAAAGCTCAAAAATGCAAAAAATGTGGCACTGTTTAGACTACAAAAAAAGATACTTGTTTATAGCATGAGAGCTAAGACAAGAAGGCAAAGTGTTGCCTTGTTCAACCTTAGGTAGGTACATGTGCATCAGGCAATTCAAATTTTTCATTCCTCTGCAAATGGCTGCAAATAATGACAAAAGTGCCACAAGTATTGATTTTAGGGTTACAAATAAATTTCAGGGACCAGGTAAACTTACAAACACAGAATCCACAAATAATAAGAATTGACTATACTATGTTTAACTAAAAAGCTTCAAATCTCTAGCTTCCATTTTCAAAACTTTTTTTTCCGTTTATGCAAGTAATTTCTTCTATGGAAATGCATGAAAAGAACTATATTCCAATTTTCCAATCAACTTCCAAATTATCTATCTCTTTAGTTTTAACACTATAAAATTTATTCTTTTAAGTATAGCTGACCTTTGAACAATGGAAGGATTAGGGGTACAGACCACTCCCCTCCCCATGTAGTCAAAAATCCACATCTAACTTCAACTCTGCCAAACTTTACTAATAGCCTACTGTTGACTGGAAGCCCTACAGATAACATAAATAGTCAATTAACATATTCTGTATGTTATACATATTTTATATACTATATCCTTACAAATAAAGTAAGCCAGAGGAAAGAAAATATTACTAAGAAATCCATAAGGAGAAAATATAGTTATAGTACTGTACTGTATTTATAAAAAAAAAAAAAGCTACATATAAGTGGACTCCTGTAGTTCAAACCCCATGTTGTTCAAGGGTCAACTGTATACAGAATCTGACTACTCATTTAAAGAGAATACAAACCCTCAGGAAAAATCTTCAAACCAACGAACAGAAAAAGGCCTTACCTGTGGGCTCCTTGGGACACACATCTGGCAGTGACTGCACAGGTCGAATGTGTTTTGTTGGATCTACCTCTTTTTTAAAGAAAACATCTCTGCTGCTTCCTTGAGGCACTGGTGAAGAACTGTGGCTTGAAGCCATTGCATAAAATCACCACTCAACTGAAAATAAGTAACAAGTAATAATCAAGATACTTAACACAAATCAAAATTCATCTGTAAGTATTATGCATGTCTCACACTTTCTCTGAAAAGGATACATTATCCAAAAATCCCTCAAGGTATAAGTATACAATTTGAATACTATTAACTGTATCACTCATAATTAGTTACTAAGAAAGTAATTTGTCCTTGTTTGAAAAGTATTCTCCCGGAAGTGAAATATCTTCAGTCTTTTATCCAAAGTGAAAAATAGATACCAAAGCTGTAACCAATTATATATTAAAGATGAAAACATCCATTCATTCAGCAAGCATACAGTAATTACGCATTATAAGCAAATGGGTTTTTGAAGTCTGACTGCAGAAATTCTTCACTTACCAGCAGTATAACCTCAAGGAAATTTACTTAACCTTTGTGTACCTTACCTCATTTGTAAAAATGGACATGAAAAGAGCTCCCATTTCACAAACATTTTGTAAGAGTAAAAGGAATGGATGTATATATAAAGCATTTAAAACAACGTTCGTCTCAAAAGTTAGTGTTTATAAATGTTAGTTACCGTCATGATTATTACAACTAAGTGACAACTGACAACCGTTATCAATTATAAAAGAAGTATTACTCTCCAAGGTGTCTGCAATTACATTAAGTAATGACAACAATCAAAACACTAAGCAAAACACAGGTTAACCTATGTCTACATTGTTCACTAGGTCCTAAAAGAATTTGTGGGGCAAGACAACATAACGTAGGCTACAGTTTCAGGTAAAACTTTACAAATGAAGCAGTACATAACCTGGATACTGAAGAACATGTATTATTTTATTACTGGAGACTAGATAATCTTATAGTGCAGAGTATACATATCAAATAACAGGTATTCAATAAACATTTTTCAATGAAGGAATAAATAAATGAACATAAACAGAAGTTTACAGCTGAAAGGGAACTTAGATCATCTAGTCTAAGTTCCCTCATACTGGAGATAAGTATAGCAAGGCTCAGAAAGACTAGGGGGTTTACAAAGACACATGGGTTTTAACAAATTAAAAAAAAAAAAAAGCCTACTCAGGAAATCTGGTGAATATACTAAGGGTAAGAAATAAAGAGCAGAGACAAAGCTGAGAATGGTGACAAAAAATTAATCTACTCTAACTCTCCCCTAGTTTAGTGGAAAGCTAAAACTGACATTTCCTAGACTTCTTTGGGTTTTTTTTATTTTTTATTAGTTTTCTTTATTTTTGAGAGACAGAGAGAGACAAAGCATGTGGGGGGGAGGGGCAGAGAGAGAGGGAGACACAGAATTGGAAGCAGGCTCCAGGCTCTGAGCTGTCAGCACAGAGAGAGCCCGATGCGGGGCCCGAACTCACGAACCGTGAGATCATGACCTGAGCCAAAGTTGGACGCTCAACTGACTGAGCCACCCAGGCGCCCCCCAGACTTCTTTGATTATCTGTCACAGTCCTCCTAATGCAAAAGAAACAAATCCAATTACACCACTAAGACCGTAAGAAACAAACTGTTAAGAAAATGCACAAAGATAAATAACTTCCTTAGGGTCCCTGAACAGAAAGCAAACAATAACATGAACAAAGGTTAAGGGACATGGAATAATCATTAAGACTATGTGGAAACTGACATGGCTAGAGTAAAACGCTTGTATTGGGAAGTACTGGAAAATAAATCATACTTAAATACACACACACACACACACACACACACACACACACACAGAACATGGCCAGATGAATTAATCAGGGTCTTGGTTTGAAAGGGATCACTGGCCTGTTACATATATATCCATACACATTAAGTGTATGGTTTTATATATATACATATATATATGTATACATATATACATATGTATATATATATATACAAAACATATATTTGAGAGAGAAAAGATAATCTAAAGGATAGGAAAGTATATAATACATAATCCTGTATATCAAGTATTTAGTAAGGATAATTCCAAATTTAACATAAAGTCTATTTAACTTTATTAACTTCATTAAATAAAATGGCTAAATTAAAGACATTTTGACATTTGTAGAGGTAAGCTACAAATATATGGAAAATGTATTTATATTGATTGCCCATTGCTTGGTGTCAGATAAATCAAACACTGATTGATAGCACACTACTATTTCAATTTATACTATTTACCATCATGTTGTTTTAACAGCAAAAAGAAATCCTAAGCGCCATCTCAGGAAGCCAGAAATACTTGAGGAGATGGAGACTAAACTAGTCTAGAAAAAATTTGTAGACTCCTATAAGTTATTTCAGTATCTGAGGTGGTGGGGGAGTGGTACCTTATTTACTCTTTAAAGATTCTGAACTGGGACACATATGTAGGTTTTGTTTGTTTGTTTTCCTACACTTCTAATTCTTCTTATGAAATGGGGGAACATCTCTAACTATAAAGAGAGTATGTAAAATTAGGGGACTGCCTATATAGGGGAGTCCCAATTTCAAACCATTTGTCTCTCCATTACTTTCAATCATCCTGAGTTTATTAAGATTTCCCCACAGTAAGAACCAAACGTTGTATTAATGGCCACATAAGTATGATGCAGATACTTAGTATGTGCAATCACTAGTAATAAAATATTGTGGATTTATTCATAAGGCATGGATGCATAAACAAATACACCAAATCCCTGTGGCCTCTAAACCAAACAACTTCAGCAAAAAAAATAATCTTTCATTGAAAAGCTAAAGAACAGAAATGATGAGGCATCCTAGTAAGAAAGTTTCAGTGTAACCTAAGAATAGTTTGTCTATCCAGAAAAAAAAAAAAACTAGCAAAAACAATAACAAAAAACACAGAATACAGAGAAAAAGAAAGCTCTATGCACTAAATGCAGGTAACCTCTGATTTCTAATACTTCCACTTTACATCTAGAAACAAATTTGGCATTTAATCAGCGGTCACCTACAATGAGAATCTGTAAATCACTCCACCATTCTTTACACAATCATCTTTTCATAATTATATCAATACCATACTCAACTATTATATTCTCTTGAAGCCTTCTTCGGTTTCTCACACTTAAGCCACCCTTTATGTATTTCTATTTTTGCAACAACCATACTGAAAATTTGGTCTTTATATAGGTCTTCTCTATTAGACTATGAACCTCTTGATGTTTCCATTTTCCTGTGTATTCTATGTGCCTAACACAATTCCTGGCACACAGATAGATATATAATAAATACTTTAGAGATGGATTAAATGGGTAATACGTAGAACAGATCAGAAGAGAGATGTTAGACAGCTACTGATAATCCTTAAGTGAATAGATAAGAGCATGGGTATGAGTTGATAAGGAAAGAAACAGTCTCATTCATCCCAAAAGAATTTGTAAGGATGAGTAAGATCAGAAACATGTGTACAGGAGTGCTGATGCATAGGGGCACTTGTACCCCAATGTTCATAGCAGCACTCTCAACAATAGCCAAATTATGGAAAGAGCCTAAATGTCCATCAACTGATGAATGGATAAAGAAGTTGTGGTTTATATACACAATGGAATACTACGTGGCAATGAGAAAGAATAAAATATGGCCTTTTGTAGCAATGTGGATGGAACCGGAGAGTGTTATGCTAAGTGAAACAAGTCATAGAAAGACAGATACCATATATTTTCACTCTTATGTGAATCCTGAGAAACTTAACAGAAGACCATGGGGGAGGGGAAGGGGAAAAAAAAAAGTTACAGAGAGGGAAGGAGGCAAACCAGAAGAGACTCTTAAAAACTGAGAATAAACTGAGGGTTGATGGGGGGGGGGGGTGGGAGGAGGGGAAAGTGGGTGATGGGCATTGAGGAGGGCACCTGTTGCGATGAGCACTGGGTGTAGTATGGAAACCAATTTGACAATAAATTTCATATTAAAAAAAAAGAAACATGTGACTGTCTTTCTTTTATAGCTCAAAGTATCTTTTTATGTTACAAGTTAGGTTAAAAGCTTCTATTAAAAGTTCCTAAAACAATGTCACTCCAGAAGCACAGAGCATACAAAGGGCTCGGACTGGTTTCTAAATGTAGGTACACACTGTTTTTCCAAAGTTTGCATTATGCCAGTCTGCTTTTACTAAAGACCTACATTAGCACCTGTTTTCACTAACCAAAAGAAATCCAAAGAGGATTTTTGCTTTTCTTTAAAAAGGTGAGAGGCAAAAACCGCATTCAGCGTTTGCAGGAAGCCATCACAGAGGCAGGACACACCCAAAGCAGCAAGTGTAGCACTGCCAAACTACCTTCCTGAAATTACACTCAGCACCTCACAAACAAGCTACCGTAGCTTTGAACCGTGTATCTTAGTATCTGTGCTTTTTCTCAATTTATTCTAGGCAACCATTGGTAAGAATGTCTTAAGAAATAGGAGAAGCCTAAAACATGTCATTTTGGGGGTCTGGGAACGTTCAAACATTTTCCCATAAAAATTAATGGTAAGTGTTTCTCTGCTTTACACTATTTCAGTTTTACAAAAGATTTCACAGGTATGCTCTACTTTCAAGTAATAAGTGAAAACTATACCATCTTCACAAAGAAACCACGGTTCACTGAAGAAATATCTGAGTTCAGACCTGGAGCACAGGGGGAAAAAAAAAAAAGTTGATCCTGAGAACTCTTGTGTCAGAAAGCAAGTAAATGCTCAAAGACCAGAAGGATCTGTCAAAAGGACAAAGGACCAAGTAAAAAGGGTGCTCAAATGCCACTTGCGGGACAATTTGAGCACTCCAAAAAAAAAAAAAAAAAAAAAAAAAAGGAAAAGAAACTTACTTGAGTGTAACATATTGGCTAAATAAAAATTAATGAATATACAGTGATACTTAGGGGAAGAAAAAGACATGAAGAAAAGTGGGTGGAGTGGGATGAGGAAAGGAAATCTCTTCTTTACAGAACAAAGCCAGTAATAAATGTAGAAGGAGGAACTGAATTAGTTGTAACCCTAAGGTATAAACCAATTCAGGCAATAATCATCGATGTATG